ATAAAATAAAATTGTCGATTGAAACTAACCAATACATTTCCAGCCGAGCTCCGTATCATTGTCATATTCTATCTGATATCCTTTTATGCATTCACAACGGTACGATCGTTCGACTGGTATACAAATCATATTTGATGATGTACATAAATGTCGACCACTTTCACAAGCATTCTCAAAATGCATTTAATATTAAATTATTAAAATTATCACCTGAAATATGGATATTTTGAAAATATTATAATTTAAAATAAATTAAAATTTGGTTTAAATTTAATATGAACAAAAGATATAATAAATAAATATAAATTACTTGGTTACAATTGGTACATGATGGTCTTTGATTTTCAACATCTTCATTTTGCTGATGTTCTTGGTTACTGTAGTGCTGTTGCTGTGACTGTTGATCAATATAGGGTAATTGATGATTATCATCACGATTTACAGCCGTATTTGCGGATGCATAACGTACGATACGTTCTTCAACATCATAAACAACATGAATCCGAGTAACGTGAATTACGACTACGGGATCTTCAGTGAACTGAAAATGAAATCGAACAATCTGAATCTAAATTACATCAGTAGAATCTCACAAACCATTTTGATGTTGTGAAATTAAATATGATTAAAGTTTGTATGATATAATAAATATCTCGATGATGATAGTAAACGTTCATTCGTTACATACTAGTTTTATCGCAAAAATTGTGATCTAAGAAAATAAACAATTTTTTCATATCAATTGTTATTAATGATTAAATTATATTATAAGGTGAAATATTAACAAATAAACTTATCAGTCATAGATGATAAATAGATACGTCATAATAATGATTGATCATTGTTATGATCGGGATCAGAGGACAAATTTATGTTCAAGAATTACAATTGAAACATTGAAATATTATTTACAATTTATTTTTTTTTGACTTTGCTTTTGTTTTGTATAGAATTATCTTGAAAATTGAAAATTACCTCTCTAAATGGACATTCTTTGTAGTGTATTTGTTGGTCAGTTGATAGTTTCATTTGTGTTTCCACACCACCTTCCTTTAGTTTTACCATTTGTGATGAATATGATCGCAAAAATCCTGCAAAATTTACTTGATTATATGATATTTATAAATTTTAAGATTATAAATTTTAACTATTTTACACAAATAGAAAATTATATTTAATAAAAAATCGTATTTGAAAACCTGATTACCAGGTCCTTCACGTCTATATTCCTCGTCATGATCTGAATAACTTATCTCCGCATCTTCCGCTAATGTTGGCAACGTCCCTGATATGAACATCTAAATTCTTTCTTTCTTTTTTTTAAATATAAAAACGAGTTAAAATATAAACATACGATATTAACGACTTTTCTCAGAAACATTATCAGTAACACTTACATGTGCTTTAAAGTAATGATAAATGTCACGGCCAGAAAATTGTTGTCTGATTGTTACTGCATATCGATCACCAATATGAACATTTACTGTACGATTAAAAAGTCCTCCTGCAAAAATTTTAACAATTAAATGTTTTGTTTCACTATGAAAAAATTTTTTTTCTAGATTTTATTGCTTGATCAAATTTAGTAAACTCTGCAAATTGAAATTAAAGCAAAATTAGGGAAACAAACCTGTTATCATAAATCCATTATAAGATGTTGGCGAAAGTACCTGAAAATGTATGAATATTATTACTATTTTAACTTATGTATTCTATAGCTAAGTTGAAAATAGTAATATCAAATAAACTACTCATTTGATAGATTAAATTAGTCGGATGTTTACATTTCATAATTCTGTTTCTCACTTTTTTATCTTTTATCTTTCCTTCATCAATATATCTTAAATTATAGCATTATTAGCAAAGTACATTAGGAGATTAAAAAATTAAATTAAAGCTGATTTTTTTCTTTTTTGGAACTGCATAAATTATTTACTTTAAATCTTATAAAACTTTATGTAAAATATATTGATGCTATATTTTGGGTCTAATTATATTTTAATCTCTTTTTCAGAAATTTAATGTGAATTTTTCAATGAACTGTTAAAGAAACCTTAGCAAATAACCATCCCATAGCACTACCAATTGCATTCAACAACAATAACGATCTTCCAAGTTCCGGTGGTATTCGTGAGAGTGCCGTATAACTTCGACCTTCTTCAACCATTACATATGTATGTAATTCAGTTCGATCCATTTCTTTTCCATTTATCACACCCTCAAAGCCACCATTAATTCTTTGTGGTTCGCCTAAAAATACCTAATTCAAATTAATTCATTTCAGTTAATTAATGTTACATTGTTATGCTAAGTCTTAGTCATTTGAAAAAAAGTCACATAAAAGATAATAATAAAATATTTTACAACAAAACAAAATTTAATACATATAATTGATTATTTTGAAACAAGTAATAAGACAATTATTTTTAAATTATTAAGCTCAAATTCATTATACGACAATTATCATACCGATTTTTTTTGCTATATATTTCTTCTAGGTTTATGATTATTTCCTAATTTATTTCTATTGCTGGAAATCTGTCAGAAATTATCGATAGATAATACGATAAAAGAAATCTTACCGTTTTTCAAACATTCTTCACCGTTACCGTAATAGCCTGCTAAACACTGACAACAGTAACCCGGATTATAATCAATGCATTTAGCATACAAACTACACGGTTGCATCTAAATTTTTTTCTTTTTTGTTAAAGTTAATTACACTTTGTTTATGATAAGCAATGATAAGCAAACGATATCATATTGATAACTTATCAATATCATTGAATTTCTTATCTTTATATGGGTAAAAATGATCAATAATGTGACAATAACATTATCTCATTATACTAGCAGTGCATTATTAATAATATGTTATCAAATTTTCAATATCTTGTTGAAAATTTTAAATGCTTTAAAATAGATAATATTGCAAGGCAAACTTTTCTACTTGCAACAGCACAACTTAATTCAATGTCTTCAACATCCTGAATTGATTCCAAATTTTCCAAATCCGTTGAAACAATCAATTTTGATTCTGAAAAGCACTTTATACAAAATGCTTCATCATAAAAAAGTCTCGTTAAACAAATTGATGCATCGAATTTTCCATATTTCATAATAAAATACAAGGAAAAAGGTCTTGCAAATTTGTTGGTAATGATTGCCTCCTTCATCTTTTTCGTTTGATTTTGGCTGTTTTTTGCTGATATCTTCTTCTTGCAATATTTCACTCGCTAAATAAACAAATTCATTGAATTTGATATTAAATTTAGCTTTGATTTTAACTGAAAATTATGGTTAAAATTTGATTTTGATCAATTTTTTGCTCATTTAAAATGATGATAGTAATTTGAAAAGTTCAAAACTTACTTGTAGTTTCTTCAGATATTGCATTAATTTCCTCACCTTGACTTGGCACTACAATTTTGCTTACTTCATCATCTTTCTTCCCTGTTTTGCCAGACTCTGGTGGTTCTGAAATCTGACGTTTATTATTTGGTCAATAGAAATACAATTATCTCTTAACTTATATGTTAATCGATAATATAATTATCATTTGAATATAAAATTTGAATAATGAAATAATTATTTAAATATGTGAAAGACATTTCCATTCTTACTTTTTATTTTTTTGCACTTATCACATATATTTTTTTCATATTTGAATCGTTTTATTGAATTTTAGATTTTAATATTCTTTATTGAATCTTCGCAATATTTAAAAATTTTTAATTGCTAACTTTTAAAAATTTCATTTCATCAAACAATGAAAATATTACCAAAAGAAAGGCAAAGGGGAATTGTGGTAATGGATGGAAAAGACAAATTGAAAGGTTAAGTTATCTTTAGCAAAGATACAATTCCAAATTACTTAAAAAGTAATAAAGAGTAATAAAGATTGGCGAAGGGTTTTGAAAGTTAACAAAGGATGGAATTTACGATTAAGCCGATGACAAAGGAAATAAAGCACAGAGGAAATGTATTGACTGTATTCTTTCAGGAATTTTATCCATCATTTAGGGCTAATGACGATAAACTATCAACAGAAGGATTCTTCATTTTCTTTTTTTTTTCTTTCCACAATCTTCCAGAAAGTTAAACGATGTTCAAATAGATCAAAATAGCCCCATCTCTCATCTTATTGTGCAATCCCTTACATGAGAGAGAGAGAGAGAGAGAGTGAGAAAAAAAGGGGAAAAAACAGACGTGCACAAACACAAAGCGAGCATCCACGATCGTTGGTCAGTACTTGACATTCCATTGGACACTGATCACGATACGAGTCTGTTGGGCAATATTCTGATAGTAGCTCTAGAAATTAAATTTGAAAAAAAAAAGATGCTGAAATTCAGCTTCATTGATTAGCATCCATAACTCTTTTTCTTTACTTAAATTGTACAAAAGCAGGTATTAAATCTTTCTTGTATTTAATGACATTTTTTGAGATATTTCTTAATTTCATATTAAAATATAATCAGTTGTCCTTATTTGATTGAGCGTTAAATTTTATTACATTTCATTGCATATTGTATTAGAAATTTTTTAGTTAAAGAAAAAGAAGAAAAAGATGGAGCGAATACAATAAATGAATGAAAATTTACTTTGGTATAAAGCAAGGAGTAATCAATGAAAATAATTTAATGAAAAAAAAACTCGAACTCTACTAACTATGCTGCCGTTTATGTTCACTGTCAGAGTCATATTCCGGTTCATAATCACTGTAACTATAATCATCCTCAATCAATGTTCCCCGTGGATCTTCCGGTGTAGCACCTGATATTCGGAAAATGTAAGTACCTTCATTTTGATTATTTGATAAGCTGAAATTAAATGATTATAATAGTTTGCCAGAAATTTCTATTTGATTACAATTTGCAAAATAGATGAAAAATGAAATTCCTGAGAATATTTAAAGTATTTGTGATGATATGTTTACAATTCGTTTGTAATTATCATTTGTAAATATTAAACCAACAAGTTTAATTAATGATTTCAAGAGTTCAAACAAATTTATTGGATTCAAAGTAGTGAAAAATATCAAAATACTTTATTTTGAGAGTAGGAGATTTATTTTTATATCACTTGACGGTTTGAAACTAATTAATTCTTCTTACTTACATCTCTAACTTTTCTATTATTAGTTTCAAAGCTTAATTATTTAAACCAATACATACTTTACAAGTTCCCTAATATTGGGCGTCCCACTATTGACCATCGTTTCGCGACGGCCATCGGAGAAGTACAATCCCGCTTGCGCAAATTGACCATCTTTTTCAGTCCAATTTATTTGATTGTAAATGAGAAAAACATAAGAGCTCATTCCATCTGTTACTAAAACCATCTGAAAAAATACATTTAGCATGTAAAATTATTATCACATATCACCATTTCAAATGTTATTAATTAATTAAACCTTTTTTTTATTTGCTGAAATGATCAGTGCTATAATTTTAATGAATAACTAATTCATTTCATCTTTCAACTAATGTTTAAAAAATAATATTGCTTTTCTCTCTAAAAATTTTTAAGTTCAAAATTTGAAGGAAATTTTTTTTCAAGTATTTGCAATAAAATTAATTACCTGAAATTGATTTGAACCTTTCTCAATATCTTCTCTCATTACATCAATCCATGTTATCACGATAGCTTGAAGAGCTGTGAAATCAGTTGATTCTTGATTTGGAAAATTTTTTCGAATTTTATTCGTCAAGTCATTCAGCAAATCTGTATCACTTGAAGTTGCTCTGATATGAAAAAGAAAAAAATAACAAATATTATTTATTAAAAAAACGAGCTAAGTTCACATTTTAAAACGAATACTTTTGGTGAAATGATATAAAAGTGAAACAAAGTTAAGCAGTTCCATTTTTCTTAATCAAATTATTTTAGATTTTAAGGCAAAATTTTTTCTTCCAAAAATTATTATTACTATTAAAAAAAAGATTATTCACCGATAAAAAATTTTTCCAGCACTGATTGGAGCATAAAATATTGCAATTGCATTAATTTTTTTCTGATCCAAATCGATTATTTCCGCAAAATCGGCAGCTTTACCAAATGTTACAATACCTTTCGAAGAGATGAATAATTCATTTTGATTCTCTTCAAAATATATTATTGGCACATCCAATGTTATAGCATATGAATCATTTGAAAATGATAGCACCTGAAATGTTATGTTAAGCAAAAGGTCAACTGTTAGTTGGAAATACTGATACTACTATGATAATTATAATATAAGTAAAAAATATAAAAATGATAACATCTGTTGACAATTTTCTTCGTATTCCATTAATATATAAATTAGTATGACTGTATGTTATTATTATAAGAAAAATAAAAAAAATTATCAGTAATGAACGCTTAGGAATGCGGTAACTGATAACTATGAAGGTATTCGATGTTTATAATATATCTATTTTGAAGTATCATCATAATAGTATATTCACTATGATAACAGTAATTCGTCACAATTGTTTAGATCGTGTTTACCTGATCGCCATGCTCAATACCGTATCCAAAGAGCACTGCTCCAAGCGAATTTGTCGTTAATAAGTTTGTACAGTATAAAAGAAGCAAAAACAGCATCGCTTTTCGAAATAACTCACAAGAATTTCACTTAACACATAGCCATGAATTAAAATTTCTACAAAACATATTCCATTTTTAAAATTTCATTTATTTCAAAATAAATTTTATATCATTCATTTCTGCATTTTACTCTAACATCAAATAAATATTTTTGTTTGCAGTTTACAATTTTATTTCTCTTAATGATGAAAAAATCTTTCCTTAATTAAATTGATTAATGATTATATAAAACAATTATAAGTTATTCCATCGGGAATTAATTATTTTAAATATTAAAAACTTAGCAAATTTGCAAAAAAAGGAAATTAGAAATAATTTGCTTGATGATTCTTTCAAAGAATTAAAGTAGCGTAATTTTTTTGCTTAATAAATTTTCCTGCAAATTGAAAAATATGCAAATGTTTTTCACATTTATTGAAACTACTTGTGTAAATTATAACTTTTTGGAATAGGAAATGTTTAACGAATAAATAAAAATTTGTTAATGAAAAAAAAATGATTGGATGAGTTAAAATTGAATTTACTAGAATGTTTTAAAAGTTACTCAAGAAAAGAATAAAAAAGAAAACAAGTTTTTTTTTTTTCATTGGAATGATTTGATGAAGCGTAAACAAAATTCAGCAAGTAAACACAAAGAATGAATTATTTATTCTCTCTCTCTCACAATAACGCTATTTTTTGTCAAATGTCAGTGGCCTTTTTTTCTTTTTTTGTTAGCTATTCGATTGAGTAATTTGACTAAAAGTAATGAAAAAATTATGTAATATAATGATAGATTTTAATACAGAATGCTTTCAAAGCAATTAGCAAGAAAAAAATTTTTTTCATTTCTTTAACTTAATGAAATCATCAAAAATTGAAATATCTATACGTCTTTCAAGTTAAACGGGGGTGGAAATAATTTCAAATGTCAAAATGATGAAAACTTGATGAAAGCTACTAAGAGATGATAACAAATTTGGAACTTTATTGAAATAGTTTTCAAAAAACAAAAAACAATAAACAAAACAAAGCAAAAAAAGCCGATTCATTTACTGTATTTCTTTAAGGTGAGAGAAAAAGCTTTTAATTCATTAAATAAAAATGTTTTCATTTCTAAAATGTAACTTCTCGCTTTTTCGCGTCCTCTTTCGCTCTTTGCAGTGCGTTAATATCGCTTGACATTCTATTTACATATTTATAATTGAAAATTTAAAAGTAACATTCATAATCACAACTATATCGAAGTAGCAATTTAAATTTTTTTTATAGTGCTTCTTTGAACTTACCGAATGATTTCATTCTGTTTGGGAAATCGGGAAGCTCCTTAAATGTTTCTCCTACAATGTGAAAAGGAAAATGCTTTTTGTTATCATTTATTGCTAATTCTTATTGCTACTTGAAATTCTAAAATTTTATTAATTATTTCTGCCTAAAATTAAAATACTGTTTTAATGTTTTTAGCAAAAAAAGGAGTATAAAAGTTAACTAACAGAGATATAATACACTTTTCACTTAAATATCATCAAAGAACATAAACAAATCTTTCGTTACGATCGTTTTTGCAACAATTTAAATGAAATTTTTAAGCTGCGTAAATAATTAATTTATTGAATTAGAGTTAATATGCTGCACATTGCTCTGTCAGGTTCTGAGCAACTTATTTTCTGTAAGTTTAATTTGAAATCTGAAACAACATTTTGTATGGAACTGTCTTACTTATTTTACGCTTAGCTTAATTTTTTTCAATTTCAAAATTTGCCTGATATTTGAGATATTTGAAACATAATTGAATTATTCAGTACTTTAAAGATGAAGCATACTATGCATCTAAGGATTGTAAAGAAAAGAAAAGTTGTAAGCAAACAGTTATTGAAGTAGCTTACTGCTACCAATTGGAAAAGAGTAAATTAAAAAGTAAACAAAAAAGTCACTGACGAAAAATTTCAAATTTCAAAAGAGTTTGCGAAAAAAATGTCCAAAGGTCATAATTGCTGAGGTTAATATAATTTCTTTTTTCTTTTGACATTATCGACTATAATATGTATACTGATAAAATTTTTTCGGAGAAAATTATAAGCAATCACAAAAATTTTTTCCCGCCCAACTAAAGTTTTTGGAATGCAAATTTAAAATTTAAATACAAATATGGTTAAACAATTCTTTTTCACTAACAGTAGCAATTGTTCAGTCAAGGTCAACTTTATCAAATATGACGTATATTCTAACTACATCAACATTTGTTTTTAGAATACTAAATTTAAAATGTTGAATGATATTATTAATGCAATAAATTCAACAAAGAGAAGAATGTGAATGATTTTTGATCATTAAACAAATAAGATGAGTTAACTAAAAATATCATACGGAAACGGAAGCGAAAAATGAAATAAAATAAACAAATGCTAATTGGCAACAATATTTGTCTTCTGAAAATACGATCCGAAGAATTCACAAGTTTATTAAATATATTCCTAGTAAGAAGCATAATTTATCATACACCATTTACCATTTACTATTGTAAATATATTCCTCCATATTTAAATGTTTTATGCATTGCTACGACAATAAAAAATACAATATTACAAAATAACTTAATTTGAATTTACAAGTGATAAATAATAGTAAATAAATTATTGTAAATAAATAAATTACTGAATGAATGGATGAAATACGGAAGAGATTTTCTTATTTTTTCTTTTTCCCTTCCTTGTTTAAAAACAACTTAATAAATGAAGCAATAAATAATTTGAATAAGCGAAACAATAAATAATAAAGTACCAAATAAATAAATTACTGCATGAACGAAATAATAAATAAATAAATTACTGAATGAATGAATGAAATAAGGAAAGAAGCGACGTGTTCATATCAGAATGCTTTGTATAATTCAGCTGATAATTATACCAAAAATCAATGTTCACTGATAATGACAGTACGATGGAAATACCATTTTTTGGCTCCATAATATTGTCCCATAATAGTGTGCACACCTCTTTTTGATGGCAAATTTGTGGTGCCAATCAAAATTTTTCCTATCCGACTGCTTTGAATGCAAAATTTTTGCTTAAAAAAATAAAACAGAGCATTAGATAAATGAACTGTGCTGACAAATATGATGAATGAAAAAAAAATCGAAATAATTTCTTATAAATTTTTCATTTTTTTCAAAAATGAAACTATAAGAATTAAACTCTGAGCTTAGAAACTGCATAATTGAAGAAGATAGAGTTTCTGAAATGAAATGAAATTCAAAATGTAATTTTAAGCTTGCGAGAAAAAGTAATTGTTTTGTAACAAGTAGAAGAAACGAAATGACAGGTAAAATAAATAATAAAAAATGAAAAAATAAAATAAATTTTTGTTTCCTTTTTTTTTTCCTTTTTGTTTTTGGCAATAATTTTCGGATATCAACTTTATGAACTTCTTCATATTCTTGTCAGATTTTTTAAATACCAAGTACAATAGCAAGAAAAACTGTTAACATGAAATTTGTCCGAACCATTAAACGTTTTTCATTTAATTTTTTTAACACTTAAAAATTCAATTCATAATATAATAGAAATTGTAGCTCCTCTTCCATTATTTTAATTCTCGAAATAATTTTTCACAAACTTTCTAAATAATGGAATTTATGATGAGATCATTCAAATGTGTTTAATCTATTGTTTTCTTAAATATCGGAAATATCACCACAAAAATACCGGAAATGTCATTTCATTATGATTGAGATACTGCAAAAATACTTTACTTTCTCATTGATTCAACAAAATTCATTCCAATCTCATCGCTATTGAAATATTACTTTTCACACACATCCACAGAAAAAAGCTGTCATCAATAGGAAGGTGAAATATTACATTTCTGTCATCAATCAGAATATATTATACATTGGAATAATTTGAAATCTATCTTGTACATAACAGACAGATATTTTACGCGCAAATGACCTTCTCCGTTTGCTACAATGAATCATCGCCCTCTTCGCATTCTCGCAAGATTTCAAGTATAATGTAAATAGATATATATTGATAGCATCTCTCTTATCAATTAGAATTCGTTTTTAAAACTCTTCTGTAATATTAACATAACATATCACATATCTGTCGAAAGAAAGAGAGAGAGAGAGAGAGAGAGAGAGAGTGAATGAGTGAAAATAAAGGGAAGAAATTAATTCACTTGTACATTTTTGTATGTTAAAATTTTAAATTTAACTTTCCGGAACATCTCTTCAGCAATAATGTTATAAAATTATTATTTGTAATAGTATGATTGGAGGAATGAAAAAAAAGATTTTTTTAAAGTTAAATTTCATCATTGTTGCATAGCTATAAAATTATTATTAGCTTAATGAATGAAGCAACTATCATATATTGATAAAAAATTATGGGTGCAACAGTTTATCATTACTAAAAGCATTGTTTATTATTATTTTCGCCATTTCATCATACCTTTCCATTGCTTTTCATTTCCTTTATATAAATGAAATTGTGCATTTAAGTGTCTTTTTAACCTATGTAAACTTTTCTAAAAATTTGAACACATCTAAAGATGACCTCATCGATGACCTATTTAATGCTGACAAAGTCATCAATGACGTATAACAGTTTAAAAAATAAATTATTTGCTTTTTTACTTAGGGGAGTTTTCATGAATGACCTATTCAACTGATTTAACGTGCAATTACTTACGTACGTCAATAAATGCGTAATTAACACATTATCCCGCAATTGTATGATGTTTTGCAACATTGTGATATCAAAGGAAATTTTTGAAACGTCGTGTAAAAAAAGCATCATTGGCGCCGGGATGAAAGAAAAAAATGAAGAAATGAATTTATGAATAAAAAGATGTTTTATTGATATGAAAGGAATGAAAATGTGATCAGGAAGAGGTGATCATACAAACAGAAAATTCTTATCATTAGCTGATGAAAAGAATTAAAAAATGAAATTGCTATCAAATAATTGTGATATCAATTGTGATATTGAAGGTAAGCTATCAATCATCAGTAAATCTTTTAACATAAAAATATTATTGATTATTACAATAAATATTTGAATGGAAGATCATACAAACAGAAAATTGTTATCATTAGCTGATGAAAAGAATTAAAAAATGAAATTGCTATCAAATAGTGCGTGGTAGGTAATTTAGAAATGGGATCTGATAGGATAGATGCTTAAAAGTGATGATGTGCAAAAGAAATTTAGCATTCTGTTTAGTGTTGATAGTGGATAATGAGGGATCGGGAGTGACAATAAATGATTATAATACGAATGATGAACCATTTTAATTATAATGGATAAGTTATCATAGATTATAAGATACAATTTGTAAAATATAAAATTTGAAACTTAAATGATCCCATTTGCATTTGATACTAGCATAATTGAGGAAGATGAATAAAGTGGAAAATGGATTGTGAGGTATAGAATGTATGTATGTCTGGAATTGCTGTTATCCATTGGAATTTTACACTATCACTATAATGTCTGCTATTTGGCTACGGTTCAGAGGTCATTTGCCTCTTTATATTGATGAATATATCCCTCTCATCATGCATCATTCACTCTTACACTATCTTCATACCTATCATTCTATTTCTACTACTAACTATTACTACCATCGTTTATCATTATTACTATCACTACAACAATCGCTACTGCTACACTGCAATTATCTGAACAGTTGGAACTAAAGCGATTATATATTGAAATTTAATTAACCTCTACCCAATGGCAACCATCATCTAATTGAAAGATACAAATGGATACTTATGCAAATAAATTTGAAACACTCATTCCTTTTTCTTTCTGGATAAAGAGAACGAAATACCTGGGAAGTTTTGTAAGAATAGCAGCGATAGATAGATAACCTGTTAAATAATCGGAGACCGAATGTCTACCGATGATAGTACGACAGTATTTCGTAGAGCTATCATGTTTGAACGAGATAATCTTAAATATTGTGTATATCTGTCTGTTTACTGATAACATGTACAATTGAATATGACGAAAATGTGTATAAAATATAGATTCCCGTTAAAAATTTCAATTTTAATTTCTTTTTATCGTGGTATATTAACTGGGTTAATTCTGGAATGATTAAATGATATCAAACAAGTTTTAATACTTAATTATTCTTGTAATATTTCGATGAGAGTAATATAGATCTGAAATAATACAAACAATCTTGACAATTTCATACAAAACCATTGTAAAATAAAATGAGGATAGTTCAAGAAAATGAAGGTGCAAAAATCGTTTCGAAGATGGCAATGAAGATTTCTGCGCTGTTTGAATTATAAATATATATGCACCCCTCACCATATCGGTTCACTCGCGCCTCTTCGATAATTTCCAATTCACAGAATTCCAACAAATTAAAAAAAAAATTCTCTTAATCTCAAAATTTAGTTTATTTCTCGCGATTTGAAAGAAATCATGAAAAATGTTTTCTTTAACTTTCCAATACTGAAATTTAATTCAATCCATATAACTGCATAAATACAATATACGATAACAATAAAAAAAGTAAAAAAAATACCGAAAAAAATAAAAGCAATCAAAAAACTGGAAGATAAAAACGAGCTTGGTTTTTCATTTCAAGCAATATACAGCAAATAATTATTCTCGACATTAATTTTTGGTAACATTTAGTTTCACTGATAGAAAAAAATATGTGCATAAATTACTTGCAAAAAATTGTAAATGAAAGTTGAAATTAGCATAAAGTCGTGAAATGAAAGACCAACCTTATGCACATCAACCTAATTTTTAAAAGTAATCTAATCCTGCAGACAAAAAATCTCAATTATTTAAAAATATATTTTTCCGTTTAAAGTCTAAACTCATCATTTTTCACGGAAAAACAGTGAGTTCAAAGTCTTCGCGTCCTATCTCTCTACGTATGGGTGCTTATACTTATGTTCTCACACTACTCAAATTTTAATAAAATCGTCAGCGGATATTAGTAAATTGTGCAATTTTCTGAGAAGTAAATTTCAATGGAACATTGCTTATATTTGTTCCAGCATTGATCAATGTCTTTATACCAGTGTCCAATCGTGCTCGAGTCGGTCCAATTATCCTCATTTGCCTATAAATGTAAATATTTTAATTATATTATAATATTTTCGATTTTTCAGTTAACTTCTGCGATAATTTAATCAATTATGTGTAAAAATAGAAAGTGGTAAGGAGTTCGCCTTAAAATAGAATACCATATCAGCAAAATATTTCAACAAAATTCTGCAATCAACCTGCGCAAAAATATGTCAGGTTTTTAAAGAATCATGTAAGTAAATTTAATAACTTTTCTATTTTCCTAACTTTGTCAAATTTTACAGCATTAAATAGAATAATAGGCAGTAAAAAAAATTTTGAATTTTTCAGGAAAATAGAGGTTACAATTTTTCAATTTGAAAAGATTTAAGTGGTTCAAAATAAATTTTGTATTACACTGAAAACAAAGCATCTACTAAGCATATTAAATGCTATATTTCATTCATTTTTTATCGAAAATACCTAGGAAAAAAATTAATTTCAAAACACAATTTTAGAAGTGACACCATACCTGATATGAGTATCTCGACCATTCTGGTGGTTCTGTACAACTTGCAATTGCAATACAAAAGCTCGAGATGGACCTCCATCAGCGTCGCGTAAATCGATAACCTAAAAAATGAAGATTGAAATTTCCTAATGCTATTTTATGTAGCTTATTTTTCCAAAAAAAGAAGTCTTAATACTTGCAAAGATTTTGAAGACTAGAAAGATCTCATTTCAAAAAGATTCACAAAATCAAATAATATTTATTTAGAAGAAAAATATGAAAAAATTAACCTGCCAACCAACTGGTTCGGAAAACACAACTGTTAAACCTTCATCTACATCCAGAACCGATGAACCAAGACGTACAACTACCCTAACGAAAAGAAATTATTGAGATTTGAAACATATAAATATATGTTATACCTAAAATCACCACAGTTTCTGATCTAACATTCCATACAAATTCCAAGGATTCAAATAAGGATTAATAATCTAATTAATCTAATCAAATTATCAATTTTATGACCAAAGTATTTTAAATGATACCACAGGATAAAAAAACTGTGAATATACTTTTTAGGAACGAGATAATCTCTAATTATCAAACGCTCATCTTTTATTTCTCCTAAAGGCAGTACTGTTGATAACTTAAATTTGCAAAAATTAAAAAATTTACTTGCTAGGCGTATAAGATTCATCAGTTTTGTAATCCAAATATAGTAACAGGTATGAAATATTTGTTTTCTTGCTAAACTCTATTGTAACCGTGTGCGGTTGTGGGCCATCTGACTGCCAATATTGTTCCAAATCATCATCTAACAACTGCTGGATACCAAATCCATCTGAAAAATTACAAATGAGATAGATAACAAGGTGATTATTCCCATTTACTTTGTTCGTATTTCCGCTTAAAAAAGTTATCGTCAATTCTCGAGTTTTTCGGAAAACAAGAAAAAGTAAAAAGCTTAGTTTCCTTCTCGAATGTTACCAGTTGAATTTCTTGGACTAGAAAGTGTTATAAGACAGCGAGTTGGAGCAACAGTATTTATAGTATAAAGCTAAGTTCTGAAAGAAATTAAAAAAAAACCTGTTTTACAACTGGATAAAGTCCAGAACGCTTGATTGGATATATCGCGCACATCGCCCACATTGTTCTTCGGCAATGATGCTATCCACGGAGTAGTTCCAGTATCTTTTTTTGGTGTTTGATTTTCTAATACATCATTTTCATCCACTTCCATTTCTTCATAAAGTTTATGACAAAAATTATTTAGAAATGACTGTTGAAAAACTCAATAAATTTCAAGACTACTGGAATACTACTAACATTTCTTGTTCAGGACTAGTAAAATTTACAAACAAGATCTGTAATTTGTTTATAGCGAACTATAATTTAATAAACTGAAAGTAAGAAGCAAATCATTTTAGGTAAAAAAATTCATGTAGTAAAATATGAGAGTGCATTTTATAGCATAATTAAAGAGCTAAAACATGTCACTCATGTTGCGACACTATCAGTCGTTCTGAAAATATTACGCAAAACATGAGAACTTGAACACAAAAACCGTAGAAGAATAAAGAAGTATGTACAAGGTTAAGGCACAAAATATACAAATGGAAAAGCCAGAAATGTTCATATTTTAACAGTCAAAAGGCAAATTTTATTACACATTCTGCACAGATCTTAATTCAAACTGCGGAAAATACAAAACAAAGCAGTTAAAAAAAAAACATATATACACGACAAACCATAGAACAACAAAGAGTTTATTTATTGATTAAGCAATACCGGGATTTGATAGCTGAAAGAGTAAAAAAGAGTCGGATTTTCATTTCTGAGATAACTTTAGCAGGCAGTCAATCAAGTTCGAAGCTCATATCTTCCTGAAAAATTCTTTCATGATCAGAATCAGTTTCTTTATCCAAGGGAGAGTTAGGTTTTATGAGTGCAGTATAAATGGCCAAATACACAACTCATGGTGAGTTGTGTATTTGGCCATTTATACTGCACTCATAAAGGGTTTAGCTTATTGCCTTCTATTTTCCACACCTATAGGAATTATCTGCTGTTATAGTGTTACTGTTGCTAATTCAAGATTTGAGATGAGTTAGCACAAATCAAAAACAAGAGATATAGTTCGAAGCATGCTTTTCAGTGTATGCTCTTTAGCATTTGATTTATTGAAATGTTTTCGGCATCTTTCTTCAGATTAAATGAGAAATTTGTGGGAATTAAGCAAAGATATGGTCTCAAAACTAATTAATTATGCTTGCTTCAATTAATGAATAATTATCTTGCCATTAGTTTCTTTTTCGAATTGTTGGTATTTTCACAGATTGCATCAACAATCTGATCTGCAATTCGCTTCCGTTTCTTGTATTGCCTCTTATAAGATTCTTGTTTTGCAACAAGTTCCGACTTTCTTTTCTCATTTACAACATCGTTGTCCGCATAAGTCGCCATGCTACTGATACGTTCTTCCATCTCTTTTATCTAAAACAAATAGTCCAATGAATTTAAGCCACTATATAGAAACTTATAGTAAATAAGAAGGTAGCCACTCTGATCATTCTGATCTTTTGATGTCAAGACCGTCATTCCACTATCCTAATCACAGATCCTTTCAGATTGTACCTCCAGAGGTCTGGTACCTGTGCCTTCAAAGTCGTCTGCAGCGTTATCATCTCTTCCATGCTCAAAGCGCTTCCATATTCTTTCAATTCTAAAAAACAATGTTCAGGCAGTAGTGGAATCAATTTAAAAGAAAGTAGAAAAAATTCATGTCATCAATTATAATTTCTGGTCCTTCCAAAGTTAGATTGGTTAATAAATAGTGCAGCGTGATCTCACCAATAACAACAGATACAACATGCCCTATATTTGTCTCCTAGATAGCATAATAACATGAGAATCAAACTATCAAAGATGACTTCTGATGCTGAAATCTACCATTTTTCGCGATCTTTATCTCATTGTTAAGTTCATTCAAGCGATTCTTTTTTCCAGTAATAGATTCGTTCATTGCTTGAAGCTCCTCTTCGCTACACTTTTCAATTTTACTCTGGAAATAATTTCTATTCAAATTAAATACCCTAAACTTTCTTCATATAGTAAAATTTTCTAGACCAATTTACAGCAATTTTTACTAGGAATCGAAATAAATTTCGAGTTTTTTTTTACTTTTCAAGATATATGTTAGCATACTTGGTCAGGAAAGTAGATCTTTTGTTTTGAAATAAGTTTCTCATGTAAAATGCCCCGTTCTACTCCAATATCCAAGCATTTGATTATCTGCTGAAATTCATGATCACTATTCAGTATCTCCCCTTTTATTTATAAAATAAGCCATGCAATAATACGCAAATAAATGGAATATTTGAAAAATTGAAATCCCCAAAATCTAAAATTCATGTCTAACAGGCATCAAAAGCTCTCAACTTTTAGAACAGAAATTCAATCAACATTCAGTAAACTGAACAAACTCACAGCTTTCGGATATTCCTGTCGTAGATTATTCCATACATCAACAGCACTATAAGGTCGATTTTGCTGCAGCATATAGTTGCATACCGTCTCGATCGCTGCAAAATTGAATTTAAAAGGAAGCTACTGAAGGACACCTTGAGAATTTAAAGAAAATTACAGAGGAAAAGTGGAAAGAACTTCTTACCAACTTCATCGAGTTGCCCTTTGCTCATGGTGCTGATGCTGGATGGTAATCAATTTGATCCTACAAAAAAAAAAAACACTGCATAACAATTTATCAAATCAATAATGGCAATTAAAATATTACATTTCTGTTAAAAACGGATAATTTCTGCGATTCTTCTAGCAAATAACTGCAAGTATTGCTAATGCTATGGAATTTTGAATTTTTACCCTCTCTGAATAAATATTCTATTGACAGCGATGAAGGCAGGTTTTAAACTCATCCTAACATATTTTGATATGAGCTTTTTCTGTTCTCAAAGTGATACGACCCATTTATAAAGGAATATCATTACAGAAAAATCAAAAATATTTCACTTATTCCTGTCCATTCCCAATCAATTTGGGAAGAAAGGAAATTTTATCAATATTAATAGTATTTTAAAAGGATGAATTTATTTTAAAGGATGAACGACTTCAAATTAAGGCAATAACGGTACATCTACTAAGAGTATCTGGAAAAGTAAGCCTATTTTTGATCAATCAATCACCCAAAAATTACTCTTAGAAACGAGATATTAAAAACAACTAATGAAAAATACCAATTTACGATTCCCATCCAGCAACTGAAATTTTTAAACCCTTAATTTCGTATTAGTGCAAGAGTTTATGTCGAAAAAAACCAAATATTGATCACAAATACCGAAGCATTTATATTTCACAGTTTAGAATCATCTATTTGCAATAACCATATGGACAAATTAAACCTAACTGTATATCACTATACTAATTATCTCATTCTCATGAACTAATTAACATCTTTCCATACGTACATGACTGAATCTCTCCTAAATTTCTTTTAGTTAATATCATATTTTCGTCTAAAATAAAATATAACTTCATGTAGTTTTGGACTCAATAGATAGCACGATAAACGTTTTCATAATATATGATTCATCTACTGAATCTGATATATTTATAAAAGTTCAAGTGACATTATATTAATAAAAAACGATAGCGACATGATATGGCAGATTTACAAAAGTGATAAGACCTTATGAACGACACATTCATCAGTAGCTAGTCTGAAATAAGATAAATTTTTCAATTATTTCTCGAATAGGAAGCCAATTCTTCTACGCGACCTTTCAGGCGAATTGAGCTGTCATTACGAATGTTGCTGAAAATATTTGAGAGTGGAAAAAATGTAGAACTCAAAAAATTTATACAATGATAGCAACTTTGTAGTGATGATATTATTACAAATGAACACCAAAAAGTTTTTAGTGATGTTTTGATATGTGGCTAAGAATAAATGCCCAAAGGATAATTTTTCACTAACAACAGGTCTGATTAATGTTCACATTTTTATCACAGAAAGCAAATATATGCAGGAAAATCCAAAAAAATTAAATTGGATTGAGGAAATTAAACAAGAGAGAAACCCATTAATTTGAAATCAATGTTTATTCCAGTGTGTATGGTTCGATACTCATACTCTCTACAATCTTCAATATACTAAATTCCATGCATTTAACGTTTACTCATAAAATGTAATCATAATCTCTGTTGATTTCATTCACTCTGCCTTATTTTCATATTAAGCATCATTAAGCTCATTTAAGCTCATAAAAAACACACATTGAGCTTCATTTAGATTCCTAACACAGAGCTAGAATATACAAGAAAAGTACGCACAAATTCATTTAAGTAAATTTGTTTGCCCCCACGTCTTTTTTCGTGCTTCTTGAACCTCGTCGTTGCATAAGATCACGAAGTTTTCGAGCTGAAGTTCGCGGTGTACTATTTCGTAAATCTTCAGCCACCTTTATTAAAGCGTTATCATCTTGCAATAATACTGATTCATCCATACATTTGCGAACTTTTCCTTAAATGACAACCAATATTAAAGTAGTTCTCTTAAAATTTATTATATAAACTAGTCCTCTTAAAAAGTGGACAAGTCAAAGACCTTTTTATTGCTTGTTTGATCTTTAGAGAAAAGAAAATAAAAATTCGAAATTTAATTCCATAAAGTGCGATAAATAAGAAAATTACTTGTCAAATATGGATGTTTCTGCAACTCTTCAACGGTAGCTCGCTGGTCGGGATCTCTCGTTAAGCATTTCTAGAAAAAAGCATTTTATGGTAACAAAATTGAAAGTATACTGAACAAAAAAGAAACAGAAATATCAACTCCTGTGCAAGGATTGCAGAAATACAAACTTTCAAAACATCCATTAAATCAGCATCTTCGATTTTCTCAAAAACTACTGGTTTATTCAAAATAGCATGCATCTTTTGGATCGGGTTTGTCCACATTTGATATGGCGTATGTCCATAAACTATATTATATAATATGCATCCCAAAGCCCACACATCACATTTCTTACGAACCTAAAACACCTTTGTGCAATTTTAAAATAAATTTCTAAATCTCGACATGTCTCAGTAAACAAAGAATATGTTTGTTAAGAACTATTTAGCTATTTAGAAATACTTTAGAGCTATCAAACTATTTCTAAATCTCACCTATTTCTGAAGATCGCTCTCTTCCCTACTCTCATGACAATCGTTCATATCTTTATAAAATCGTATTGCTAAATATCAACTCGCCTTAGCAATATAGTTGAAACCTTCATTTTTTCTAATTATCAATTTGACAGACACAAAAATATTTGCTATTTGCAAAATATACCTTGTAAATTTCTTTTCCATCATGTACTGAAGCACTCGAACCTGCAATAGCTTCTGGTGGCATATAAGATAGCGTTCCCATCTGCGTATCTTTTATGACTGACGTCTTATTTGTTGGAATGGCAGATGCAATTCCAAAATCAATCAATTTGAGATTTCCGCCGACAAGAAGGAAATTTGCGGGTTTCAAATCAGAATGTACAATACCTGGAAATTATTAGAAAAAGATTATCCCACATCAATAAGGAAGAAGAAAAAACAACATGAACTCTTGCTCACCTTTTTCATGAATAGTACCCACACATTTCAACATTTCACTCCAATAAAATCTGATAAATATATCATCAATTTGATTCCTTCGAGTTTTCAGAAAGGTCGCCAAATCTGTATCACCTTTTTCCATCACTACATACAAGAAATCACCACGAAGCTCGCTAAAAAAATTAACTGAAATGAATATAATAAAACTTCCAAGATTATGCACATGATTTGTTTTTATTTATTGGTTTTTGTCTATCTAGCGGTTCTTACTAATACTATTAAAATCACATACTAGTCAGACATCTCCACGACACATCCTGTGTCCTTTAAACTAAGTAGCAATTTGATTTCGTTTAAATAGGCACTACGACAAGAATAATCAGCTTCCGACAGATCAACACATTTCACTGCACGAAGTTTCTTCTTTCTCTCGTCCAATACTTGATAAACCTTAAATAAAAAATCTGCTCTCTTTTGAATTAAAACAAGTCAATAGAGACCACAAATTTTCTTGAAGACAATCATAATTATCAAGAAAAATCAGGTATAACCTTTCAAAATAAATTGTGATCAAAAGTATTTATAAAAATTATACTTGAATGTAATGCAAGAAAATCTAACTTTACTGGAGCCTCCTTTACCCAATAAATCGATCACAATATATGGATGATTGTTTACATAAATATAACGATTAGGACGAGAATTGGAAGCAGATTCTGAACGACGTAACACTGACGATATTGCCACATTATCTTCATTTAGATCTGTTGATTGCTCCTCAAATAAAACCTTCTGCCAATTGCTTTCAGCATTTTTCGTGAAGAATTAAATTTTTTTGTCACTTCTAATTCATCATCGAAAAAGAAAAAAGGACCTATTTAGAAGCTTTTAATTACGAGATATATTTCTTACAACATGTGCGCTAGCAGTTCGTTTTTGTTTGCTTTTCTCCGCTGATCTGCTGACTGATCTATTGCTTCTAACAACAGGATCATTAGTTTTCTCGACGTTATCCGGAGCTACAAATAGATTTGTGAATGGGGTTATATTAATAGCTAATAATGTTTAAAATTAATACATAAAATTCTGCTCAGAAATGATGGAACAAACCAAATATATTTCCAATCAACTTCAAAAACATCACACTCGAACATTAATCAATAAAAAGCGAATTTTTGATGAATGAGTCATCAAAAATTCGTTCTTTGCTGCACAAATAAAGCTTTATTTTCTAGAAAGCTTGAAGGAAATTAATGATAAAAAATAAAGTAGAAAAAATAACAAACATTTTGGTGCTGTAATAACGGGTTCTACAGGAATGTCAGGAGAAATTCTGGTTTTTGGATTACTGACGGTGGACATGCGCGGTACTACAGGTTCTACACTGATATTCGGTTCCTGTGATGAGTCTTGTATTGCAAGTTCTAGAACAGATGGCGTCTTAATATTTTCCAGCAGCTTGGTTGGGACTGTACGAGTCATGCGCGTATTTGTCAGTGCGGTAAATAAACTGTTTTCTTTATCGCCATCACCTATTAATAAACCATTCTGTACACACAAGTAAACCACTTCCTTCATGAGGAAATAGATGAAATTAGATTATTAATCCTTCAAAAAACGTTCTTATATCAGTTAATTTGTAGGTAATTGATATAAAAAAGTAATTTTTACAATATCCACTTTCAAAAAGAAAATATTCATAGCTGCTACTTGTTAATCAGATATGTATGACACATGCCTAGAAACTTGGATGATAAATTAGAAATTTAGAAAGAGAATGAATAAAAACGTACTCTGCGCACTTTGGTTATTTTGTTCCCTTTTCATTTGATAGGCCTGCAATTCTCTAGCAGTACGCTCAGCTAATTTACGAAGACGTTCGCGCAAATCTGAAGTTGACATCTGAAAACAAAAAGCACAATGAAAAAAAAAACGACAGTATAGAGTTACGCTTATCGTTGCAAGCCGAATTAAAATTGAAAAAAGCATACAAACAGAAAAGCAAAAGATAAAGCGATACATGCCATCTTATCTCCTCCTTTCCTTTTATCTCTCACCATCATTATTTCACACAGAGATAAATTTGTTCTGTGCTAAACAAACTAAAATGAATTCAGTCAACTTAAGTGGAATTCAAAATGCTACTACTATCGTATCATTATCGCTTTCCATTAATAATTTACTTATCAATTCAAGCAAAAATGGTCAATTCTAACAAGTAACGCAAAAGCAATATGTCATTACAGTCTTCTATCTAACATTATATTTCGTTCATTTTAAATTCAAATAACGAATCTATTAATTCGATCAATAAATCAACGATCACAGTGATAACGTCATGATAACATACCATTACGCAAGCTATAATGTAACCTGCTGCGATGATGCGTAAAAATATCTGCGTGGATGATGCGGAAACTGAAATGAAATGAGGAAAAATGAAAATTCGCCATTCCTGTCGGCTTTAATATATGCGCGCAACTGGTTCAAACTTGAGTAGCGAAAAAAAGAGCCCAAAGCAAGATAGTAGTAACCTTTGCGATGGAAGAGGTCACTCTCATCTCAAGTCTTGCGGCAAGTTCACGGTAGTCTCTTCATCGAATGTATTCGTCTATCTTTGAAGGAAAATATTTCAGTTATAGATTTTCTGATAAATCCATAATTCCCATATTTTATCCTTCTGATCGAATTGAAGTTTGTATGAGCGGAGTGAGTTGAATGGAAGTTTCCGTATGCGATACCTCTTTAAGGATGTAAATTTAATGATATACGATATTAAATCAGTTTCCGGAAAATTTGTTATAAATTTCGAGGAAAAAAATGATATCAGTTAAATCTCTTTAAAATTGTTTACAATACTATACCATTGTATACAGCGGTATAGTACAATTAAATTGTTGTCTAATTATGGAATTAAAAATACTTGTTATTGATTAAATGATGATAAAATAAACGGAAGTGAATGTATTCATCTCTGAAAATATGACCTTTTGATCATGTATCGAAAGTTAAAATAACTTTTATCATTTACTGGTAAGGTAAAGTGAATGGAAAATCAGCAACAAAAGTTATTTTCATAGGCTTCCATTTGATATTGCTGAATGCTTCGTTGTGCGTTTAAATTGAAATAATTGAATTGAAATAAGCGCACGCTATAATTTATGCTACGTAATCTAATTTAAATGTGTGCTATAATTTGCACATTTCTATCACAAATAATTGCTATATAATATCAATTTATTGATAACAGGATCCGGTATATTATACCTGACCTGATACAGTATCTGTCATATACCAATAATAATATAATGCTATAACCGAAATCTGTTAATTTTATTTACAATATAATTATGCAAAATTATCAAGTTATCTTATATAGCCTATGTGAAATAAAACTAAAAAAGGAAGGTCAAAAAAAAATGAAATAAATGGAAGAAGGAAATTGAGAAAGTCGATGAAAAACACTTAACATATAAAAAGTAGTTTTAGTTGTGTGCAATATAACTTACTATTTCTCATAAATATTTCTTAAATTAAGGAAAAAAGTTAAATGGAGAAATGACTTTGTACTATCATAAATTTAGTTTTTTTAATTAAAAAAAATGACTACTATGGAATTAATTTTATATCAAGTAACTAAAAAAGAATTATCTTTTTTAAAAAAGTAATACATTCATTAGAAGGATTTTTGCTCAAAATAAATCATAATTATATTTAAAATGTAAAAGTGATAAAATTTAAAAATTTTCAATTCATTTTTTTTCTCATTTTTATTGGCTTCAATTTTCTCAATTTTTTTATTAACTTCAATTGATATTAGAAGTTATTCCACTCATAATTAATTAATAATTTTCTACAGGGAATATAAGGCTAGATTTTTATGAGAAAAAAAAATTTTATCTGACGAACTTTATACTGTAAATCATTAAAAATTCGCTATCATTCATCATTGTTAAGTAAAATGCAAATGAAAGATTAGAAAGTGTAATGTGGTTCGTTGAAAAAAATTGCTTTAAAAAGGAAAAAAAATTTGAAATGATAGTATTTGTCTGACGTCATTGATGATAAATAATGCCATGTACCTGTTACCTTTACTTTTTCTTTCCTTGTAATCACTTTCCTTATTTCCTCCCTTTCAATTTTTTTTTACACTATTAAAGTGCTATAAAAGTGTTCCCATCTATGAAAATTAGTGTGTTCTTTCGAACAAAAACGAATTCTTCAATTAGAATTTATTGTGAATTTGGTGGAAGCAAGCAGTGAATAGCGTTGCATTTCGAAGCCATGCGTTTGGTATATTTTAGTTTGATATTATTTTCATTTGCGGTACTACCAACGGATAGCTGCTTCTGTTGCGTGTAAGTGTTTGATTTTCAAATTTCCAAAATATTAGCTTTAAATTGATCACTACCAGATCATATTGAATCCTACACTTCAAGCATACAAATCACGTTAAACCATCAGTATTAAGTTTATCTTTCTTATGACCATAATGAAATTTCAAGTTTAATAGCTGCCTGCAACAGTGTAATGATATATCCATAATTTTAATGCATTTTGAATAAGTTAAAAAAAATATATAAAAGTTAATAGCTGAGTTAAAGGAAAAAAAAATGATTTAAATACCTATTTTCATTAAAAATTTGACATTTATCTGTGAAATTGAAAGCTTATTTACACTTTAAATTTTGAAATTGAAAGCTTATTTACACTTTAAATTTTGAAATTGAAAGCTTATTTACACTTTAAATTTTGAAATTGAAAGCTTATCGCATTTACGAAATCATTGCATTTTACTCATTTTCTGATAGCTTCTATGATAATTAAAAAGGAATGAATTGCCTAAAAAATGGGGTTCACTTTTTGTTTTTTGCTTTTTTTCATCTAAAAACTGTCAAAAAGAATTTAATTCACATCAATTTTTCAGTTCTCAATGTTAAATTCACAATTTTTAGGCCTATCTTTCTATTCCTATGTCCATGTTTGTGCTGTCCACCACCTCCACCTCCACCACCACCACCACCACCTCCACCACCACCTCCACCTCCACCTCCACCACCACCTCCTCCACCACCACCACAACACTATTATTACGGCCCACCTCTAAAACATGCAAAGTCGAGAGTTTATAGTGCAGCGCAACAACAACGACTGTCATATTGAAAAATTTGGAAATTTATTGAATTAACAGTGATCCTAATATTTTCTAGAACTTATCAGTGTTTGAATGATTTATAAAATCTACGAGAAGATCTTCCGTTTTCCATTTTTTCTTTTTTTTTTTTTTAAAAAAAAAGCTCTAACTGTGGAAATGATAAATTCCGCTTGTTATTTTCCCATTCACGAAGTCGTAATATTCACATTTATCGAAAGGCTCTGATACTGTAAGATCGGGTATATATTTTGATTTGTTGTAATGCTGTCGAATGGTTATTACTTCCAGCTAAACATATGTGCCCTAATTAATTATGGAAAATTTATTCCATTGCTTTAATTAATAAAAGTAGTTATTTACAGTTTAATCCACAACTCAAATAAATTTGTAAGAAAGTTAAATTTCACTAGGTGCATCTTACACACATAATATGCAAGTATTGTTTGCATGCGTGCATTGCGTGATGGAATTTTAAATGATTTTTTTTTTAAATGATTGGAAAAATAAGAAGGAAAAAATTAATGAGAGCAAAAGGAAAATATGCAGTTCAAGGATGTTTTAGCCGAAATGAACACCTATCATCACATTCTTCTCTAACATGAATTTAATAATTGGAATGATGAAAATGTAAAATTTAATGTGTTAAATTTAAAAAATGAGTGATAAGAGTGTCACTAATCTGAATTCAACATTTGCATTTTATTTTTAATTATTCATTGACAAACACACCAATTTCATGCGTAAAAAATGTGACAGATGTCATTAAGGCAGTTATCCATCTAATTGATTTAAGCGTAATTTTTAACATCAAATTAATGAAGGTGAAAATGTCGAAGGTTACTCAGAAATTACACGAAACGAGCAACAAATTATGTTTGCGTACCAATTGGAACCGGACACATCTGCTGATTGACAGTTTCATTTTTTTTTTTAATAAACCGAATTTTTGTTTGATTTTTTTCTTTGAAAGAAATTAATTTTGCAGATAATATATACAAAGTTTTCAACTGTATGACGAAAAAAAATATTATCTTGCCAAATAGAAGGAAACGTAAGTAAATTGATAATTTTACTTTTCTCTAATAAAATTTACTTAAACTATGAAGTTTCTTTTTTTTAAAAAAAAATTCAAATAAACTGGGAATTCTGTAGATTGAAGCAATTGATTGATTTTTTTTCGGCCGGTAAGTATAATAACTCTTACACATGAACTCACAATGGTGACAAATAAGATGTTGCAAATATTTAAAAAATTTTAAAAAAAAAAGAAAATGTTCTAATCGTTGATACATAAAATCGGATAACTGAAACATACTTTTTGCAAAGAGTTTTTAAAGGTCGGCAATTAATTTTTCTAGTCGATTTTATCAACATTTCAATTTATTGCTACTAATTTTGAAAGTGTAATCACTCCTGTTATTATTTATTGACAGCTAAATCTTAGCATTTTTTGAACGCCAAGAAATTTTTGTCAATCCACAAAACGATTGAAACATATGTGTTTTTTAGTACATAATTACTAAGGGATTAGAGATTAAAGGTTAATTAGTGAATTAAATAATAGATGTCTATCACGTACGTTTAGCACGAACTTTGTTAAGTAAGGCTAATTTTTTTTTTTGAAATTAAAACAATATCAGAAGCATTCTGGGAATTAATTTTACACTACTTCATTTTTCTTCTTTTTTTTGTTGCTTCCATCACTTTGTAATTTTGCTAATAATTGGAAAATGAAAGGAAATTTACAAGTAAAATGGCGTTAGTACAAAGACACAAAAAGAATGAAAAATGTGTTTTCTTGAGAATTGATCGTAAAACAATTAATTTTAAATACTAAAAAACTCGATCAATGATTTTAAAAAACTTTCCACTTGCAATTTAACTTTCAGATGAGTTTTCTTTCGAAACATCTCAAACATTGCCCAATTAAATTTTATTTGCATATCATATAAGTAAGCGTTTTTGGGAGAGTTCTTTCAATTGCACTGTGAAAGGTGTAACTGTTGATAAAATCAACGGAACTGTTAACAAAATGCTGCTAATAAAGTATACGGAAGTGACGAATAAAAGAGATCAATATCTTTTTTTAACCTGAAGATCTCTTTCTTCTTAGCCAAATATATTTACTTTTGCGAAATCATTTATTATAATTACTGCAATTTAAATCAGTCGGAAAAATATACTTTGAATAGTAATTATTTTTCAATAGATTGACAATTTTATTTTTGTTTGTCCTTTTCTTGTTTCCTTTCGTAACTCTGAATTAACTCATTCCTCTCATACTGATAAAATAATAAGTTATGCACTTGAAAAATATGAGAAAAATATATGCAAAAATCAGAATGGTCTCAAACAGGTTTGTTAATTCGTTGAACTTCAAAATGATCAGTTAAAACATTTGAAATTTTCCAAAAACATACTCATGAAATTTTGGAGGTTTTAGGAAGACAAAGGAATGATTTCTTTATGTTTGCTAAAATTGAAGGACACTTTTGTGCATTACTTCTTTCTTTCTGTCTATTTTGACATGAAAGGAAAAAGTGATGCACAAAAAGTATCATCAGGTGTACAGGTATGATCATTTCACACAAAAAAAAAGGACGAATAATGACACAAATAATTTCCTCTTCTGTTAGACGTTACATTCAATGATATACACCCATTGTAAACACTCCAACAATTTCAACTTTTATAAAAATTCATATATTTTTCAGGTGACACAAAATTAATCAAAAAAATTTTTCAAGAAATAATCAGGCCGTTAATACTGATAAATACCAATGGAAAATGATTTAATACCAAAGTTCATAAAATATAACTATAGAAAGCAGTTATCAAATGCTAAAGGTTATTTCTCATTGGATGAGAGATATCATGAACGATTATTGCGTAATTTTAATTAGTGCCAACCGAACGCGGTAATTTCTATCCTCGATAGGACTGTTTCATTCCTCTCTTAGATTTTATCCGACTACTTCCTTTTTTAAGTGGACGCAAAATGTTCACGATGTTCATAATATGTTTTGATTTATGTTGCCTCCAAAATCTGTAAAATAAACAAACTCTGACATAATCATATCAGGTAAAATATTTTTTAAAGCTTTTCGTTTTATTTCGACATGCCTAAACGTAAAGATTAAAGCTATCGATTGTTGCGTTAACAGGATAAAAAAGATTCATGCCAGAAATGAAAAGATTGACGCATGAATGCTAATATCAAACATCTTTGAAGTCGGGCTAATT